TAAGACAACTAATGAAATCATCACCCTCATCGTCATATATATATATATATATATATATATATATATATATATATATATATAAAAGACAACTAATGAAATCATCACCCTCATCGTCATATATATATATATATATATATATATATATATATATATATATATATATATATATATATATATATATATATATATATATATATATATATATATATATATATATATATATATATATAAGAATCTTAGTCATTTCATTTAACCCAAATTAATCATCTTTAAACAATAAAAGCTAAATGTTATACGATAACGATGTACTCCAACTCTTATTTGTTCCCAAAATTTAACGTAGACATCTTTTACCTAAATTTGCATCAAAATGTATTTTTAACACTTGATTCATTAACTTTTTGTCTCATTTTATCCTTTTTGTTGAGTTTTTTTTACACATATAGGTCAAAACTTCTAGCCCCAATTTGTAGAGTTATAATATCTTGGCCGTTTTCATCTTTTTTGCATCTCCAAAAGTATCCTTCAATTGATTTAGTCGATATAAGTCCTTCGATTACTAACCGTCTTTATAATTACTATTTAGTTAGACAAATGTTTAAATAGTAATGAAAGTGTTTGACAAAAGAAAGCATAAATAACTTTCAAACATTCTTTCATTGAACCTCTGCAAATATATCACACAAGCCAAATAGACGATTGGTCACAAGCTTCCCAAATGTTGTTACTTTCAAACATTCTTTCAATGAAAATTATAAATCCATTTTGCTTAACTAAATTGATTGTAATCAGGACAATATTACCATCGTGGACACCACATTGTAAAAGTAACAAATTTGTATATTTTTGATTTTAGGCCTAACTTGGCTGAAGTCTTGATGTTTAAGGTAAGTCTCGCACCCCATATCCTGATAATTCTTCCCATTCTCTACATGGTTTGGTTTCTTATTAACCATTTTGGTTTGAACCAGCACTTTCTAATTAATAACTTCAAAAAAATAGTAGAAGATTTGTATTAATCATCATTGAACTTACCACATCTAACAATATTTAATTCATCTTCTCAAATACTCCATTTGCTGTGACATTCCAAGTGAATTTAATATTAAAAAATCCAAGAACTATAAAGATGGTTTTTTAAATATTGACTCAAATATACACTACTTGATTATATCACTAGGTGTAAGACTCATCTATTTATAAAAAAAAAAATTAAATATGAAATTTTAACAATTTGAGAAGTTTGAATTTATAAGAAAATTGAGAAAAATTTTGAATTATTAAAATTAATGAGACTTTAATACATTGAATACATTACATATATAAACCCTTTCTAATAAATACATTACGTATTAAATGTGGAATTTTAATTTAATAAAATGAAAAATACAATAAAATGATAAGTGGAAAATAGAAAATTCAAAAATTCTAGAAAATGTTGTGTGTCCATGTAACATCCAAAAATTTAAGCCAAATTTTTAACTTTTTCATCCATTAAAACCAAATAGTATTATACAAATTGTTTTCAAAATATTATTCATCAGAGTGTCCGAGAAACAGAATCATAAGGATGAGGAGCGGTACAGTCACGCATTTGCCTTGCCACGATCTCCTGATGTACCTGAAACAATAAACTAAAACTGTAAGCCCGAAAGCTTAGTGAGTTACCCCCAAAATACCAATACTACATTGATAACACCATATCAATAACATATAACAACAACATGTATACTTGACCTTCAGCCTGACTGGACCGCCTTGCAAGGTCTACAGTCTATCTGGATCTATCCCGAGCCTTTGGTATGACTGGACCGTCATGCAGGGCCCACAGTCTATTTGGACCGCTCGTCGGGTGTGTTGGCCTTCAGCACAAAACGGGACCGCCTCAACCCAACCATCAAACAAATAACCATGTGCACATAAATAACATATACTGGCATATATATATATATATATATATATATATATATATATATATATATATATATATATATATATATATAACTATCTCACATATCATCTATTATAGCCATCACTTGTAACCAGAATACCGACCTAACTAGGTTACTAACATACCGATCTAACGGTTCATAAAGCATAACAACATCCTGCTTATCCAGAATACGATCTAACAGATCATAACCACATACAACATACTATAATCATAATAACAACCTAAAGGGTCGGCCTTGGTGCCTTAGACCCTAGTGATATAGTGAGGATAGCACCCCACGCTAGCAGCTCGGAATAATATTGTCCACACCTCTAGATATAGCTTCAACCACATCGCCTGTACCCATAAGTGGTCCACTCAATAATTATTCAAATTACCAAAAAGCCCTTGGAAGACACAATACACTCCCTAGTCAAAGTCAAATTCATTGGTCAATGGTCAATAGTCCATGTTGCCCTATTTGCTGAGTGCAACTTTCCCTCCATCGAGTCCCTACTTATTCAAGATTTACTCGACTCAACTCGCCGATTCAATACGCGACCAAGTGCTTGGAAACCCAAACTGACTCGTTGAGTCGTCTCCCACACTCGCTGAGTCCACGCGGGACCAATTCGGATAAAAACCCTACTCGACTCGTACAGTCTATAAGAATACTCCCTTGATCAAGCGATTCTGAACTATTCCTCTGATCCAAACAATAGATCTAGGTCCCTATAGTGCATTAGCAACGTAAAGTTGCTACCTTTATGTATTTGCGTGCCTCCAAATCCGAATCCAAGCTTGGAATGAAGCTCTACTCATAAGGAAGGGTTCTTTCATGAAAATACTGAGAACTTTATGAACTTAGGACCCAAGGGAGGTTTAGATCTGAAGTTTCAACTTCGGATCTAGCTCCCACACAATAATCCCTTCATAAATAAGCTAAAGAAACCCTAAATTTTACAAAATAGAGATTCTAGGAGGAAAGAGATCAAGGTAATAAGCTGGTTACCTCCAAAATGTGCCCAAACTGAAGTAGACTCTGGATCCACATGAATTTCCTTGATGCTAGCCTCTTGGTCTACAAATTTCCTCCACTAAATCACTTTCCGAAGCTCCAAAACACCCACAAGGCCCACATACACGAAAATTAGGGTTTCTAGCTCTCAAGGTGGTGATAAAAGACAGTGCGAGGCAATAATGGTCAGATATATATAGGGTGCAAAACCCCTGAAATTTAGGGTTTCCCCCGCCAGCTCCTACTCGTCGAGTCCCCTTCCCGACTCGCCGAGTTAAGTCATTAAATGATGTGTCCCATCCCACTGCTACTCGACGAGTCATAACATCAACTCGTTGAGTAGGCCTTAAAACATGAAGCCTAAATTGAATAATAATGGTACCTGACAGTTGGGATGTTACAATCCAAATTAAGGAGAAGATGATATGTGACAAAAATATTTTGATTTATTAGGGATGATGACCATTATCAGCTTTATTGTATGTCTTTGCAAACATCTATTTCACCTTTCATCATTTAGTCACTTTTACCTGGTATAGAGTGTCATAATGTGTTTGAGATTAATCAAATTGTTGATTATTTTTCTAGTCGTATAATATATGTGTTCATATAGTGTTGGTAGTAATGTTAATTGATTATGTCGCAAACATACATTCAGACGTTATAATATTAGAGTGAAAGTAATAAATATTAATAATCCATCTTAAACCATACATTTTAAAGCCTTATTAGCGTAAGAAAGAAAATGTCACATTTATTATTTACAGGATTGTCACTTTTTTTGGACATCTATAAATCTATAATGTGTTAAATATTCTTTTTCATGTTTATGACTCTATAATATGAATTTGCTGGATGATTCCAAAAGATTGGAAGACATAACTCGCCTCGATCATTTTAAAATTTATAAACCATACTCAAACCATACAAGTTTTCAAAGAATTATGAGTTTCAAACTTAAAAAAAAGGGGATAATACTATATATCGTGATAGATTATAATAAGAAAAATCAATATTAATAGAAAAATATAATAAAATAAAAATCATCCTCCCTAATAAATAAGAACTTTTTACCACTTATCAATTTATTATGCATTTGGACACATATAATTGTAGCTCATTCATTTTGTGGTAATTTTTGATTTTCATAATTAACTATCTAAATTTTAGGTTATAGAAAGTAATTAATGTGTTATTAATTTGTTTACTTATATTTTCAAATTTTAATATGTTTCCTTCGGTATATATAATTCAAAATAGATATGTTTTTTTAAAGTTCATTATCATTGTATATAAAATGGTCTATATAAAAAAAAAACAAACTTTGTTGTTTTTTCTTTGGCAAACTAAAAAAGATATTATATGGTCAAAATATAATTATTTTTCTGTAGTTTGTTTTATTAATATAAATTGAATTATTTATTTATTAATCATTTTTTTTATATATATTTTGAAATTTTATTTTTAAAAAATACTTAATGTTTCCACTTTGATATTTAATGTTTTCTTTTAAAAAAATATTTAAAGTTTCTATCTTCATATATAACTTTTTCTAACCAACCCGTATAATATATGAGTTTCACATCTATTTCTAATAAATGAATGTTTTTTTTTTGTTATTTGTTAAATTCTTAAGAGTTTTGACACATAGTTTTATGGAAGTTTTAGAATTATTATTTTCTACTTATCATTTTTTAGAAATTTTTATTTTTTAAAAATAAAATTCCATAAAATTCTAACGAGTTTTATAAGGAAAAAGAATCATTCTATTAATTTGATAATATATTTGATTTCTTTTATAAATGTTTAAAAAATTATATTATATTATATAAAAGTGTTATTTTATAGTATAGTTAATTACTATAAAAAATATATATTAGAACATGATTAATTTGTTATTTTTAGTTAGGATTGAGGATGAAAAAGTAAAGGAAAGGACGTAAAGACAAAATGAGAAGAAAGCGGAGAGGAGGGTGGTGGGGGAGGGGCAACCCCAAGCACAAAAGCAAAGGGGACACATGTCCCGTCGCACTCCATAAATCCGATAAATTTCAATATCCAAAACCCATTTGGATTTACACCAAATTACTTAAATTTCTCCAACATCGATTTATTTCAACTTATTTATTCAACAAATGGGTCACATAGAAATTAGAAAACGATAAATAACTTATTTTAAACACGAATTTTACATTATTAAATTATTTTTTGTATAATGTTTCCTGGAAATAACGTGCTGTTTCTTGTTTTCTTTTGGAATGTCACCTTTGTTTTATTTACACTTCTGGAATCGAAAAACCAGCAATCAAAATAAAGAAAAGAGTTCATAGAGGATATTGTGGTCGTCGTCTCTTCACCTGTAAGCATCACTCAACTCTTCCATTCTTGTTCCCCAATTAATTCTTCCTGCCAAAACTACACCCTGTTTCTCCAATCGTCGTCAATCGAACGTCGATCACCCATTCAGATCCCAATCCTAATTATATTTCACCCACAAATCAAACCCACAACCTGTGTTTGAGTTTGAGAGAGAGAGAGAAGGGCCCGGAGATGGGAGGTGTCACGTCATCAATGGCTGCCAAGTTGGCGTTTTTCCCACCGAATCCGCCGTTTTACAAGGTGGTCACAGAGAAATCAAGTGGGTTATTGCTCTTGGACAGGTTTCCTCACCGTGAAAATGTCGACGTTCTGAAGCTCCCTACTCGCCGGGGGAATAAAATCGTTGCGGTGTACGTTAGGTATCCCATGGCCACTCGGACTATACTTTATTCACATGGGAATGCTGCTGATATTGGTCAGATGTATGAACTCTTCATTGATTTGAGCATCCACCTCAAAGTTAATCTCATGGGGTTAGTAACAAATCGTGCCCTAATTTTTTTCAATTCTAATTCTTTCTTGCTTCTATACGAACTTTGAATTAGTCTAGGCAAATCAAAGAGTCTTCACTTCCGATTGTTTATACCGATTCCACACACAATGATTTCGACTACTGAGTTGGATTGCTGTGCTGTTATGCAGGTATGATTACTCAGGATACGGGCAGTCGTCTGGAAAGGTGCCTAAAACGATCTAAATTCATTAAAAACATCGAATTGTCTTTGAAAACGGCTCTAAAATGTTACATTTATTTGCAATTTATGTTGTTTTGCAGCCAAGTGAGCATAACACATACGCAGATATTGAAGCTGCATATAAGTGTTTGGAAGAAAGCTACAACACAAAGCAAGAAGATATCATCCTTTATGGTCAATCTGTAGGAAGTGGCCCCACTGTGAATCTTGCTGCTCGTTTACCTCGATTGAGAGCTGTTGTTTTGCATAGTCCTATATTATCAGGCCTCAGAGTCATGTATCCTGTTAAACACACATACTGGTTTGACATATATAAGGTGTGGCCTCATTTTATTTTACTGATAATTCATCTATATATCATTTTTTTTTTGAACTTATGATTCTTGAATTGGATATGTGCAGAACATTGATAAAATTCAATTCGTGAAGTGCCCTGTTCTTGTCATCCATGTAAGCACAATCCTTCTGATCTTTTTCGCTTTTTAGTGCATAATTAAGATGTTCAAAGTTGGGACTATATCACTATAGTCTATAGGGCTGTAGATTTCTGATTCTTTTTGAGTTAATCTGGACAGCATGACTAAATGGGTGAAGCTAAAAAACCCTTGGCTTAATGAATCAAGACACTAAACGCTTTACCTATTTGACCTTCTTCTTTCTTCATCCCTAACTCGTCTCACATAGAAATTGATGAATATTGTGAAATCTGTTTTTTTGAATGTAAGGGTAAAATAAACAAACCTTTTGTATGCAACACTTTATGCATACATACATCATTACCCTTCAACAAATATACCCATACAAGGCTTAAATGTAGGGAAAAAAAAGACAACCCCTAAATCAAGTCTTATTTTTGTTCCACCTAGGTAACTCAAACCTTCTTTTAAAAGGTTTAGGTTGTGTTTGGTTGTGGAAAATGAAAAATTTAGAAAAGTGATTTTTACTGTTTTCCAAAGTTTTCTAAATTTCTAAGATGGAAAATAAAAACTCCACATGTTCCAACCAAACGCTTTTTCTAAATTTTTCATTGAAAACTGAAAATGAAAACTCAACTCTATTTTCTGGGAACAAAACGCTTTTTCCAAATTTTTCATTGAAAACTGAAAATGAAAACTCAACTCTATTTTCTGAAAACATTTTCTTGGAAAATGAAAACAGTTTTCCACAACCAAACACATTAGAACTTTCATTTTCTTGGAATTTTTTTGAAACCGAATAAATCAACCAAACGCGTTTTCAAAATTTTCATTTTCATTTGAAAAATTTTCATGGAAAACCAAAAAAATTTACACAACCAAACACACTCTTAATCGCTCAACTTTGAATTCAATTCCATTATTATAAAAAATATTATATTTTTGTTGATGTGGACATATGTCATGTGACATGGCAACTTTGCTAAAGCAATTTCACTAAATAGTACCTCAAACTTCTTTTCAAAAGGTTTAAACCAATATTATAAAAATATTGTAGGGTACTGCAGATGAGGTGGTTGATTGTTCTCATGGGAAGCAACTTTGGGAACTATGTGAAGAAAAATACGAACCATTATGGATCAAAGGAGGAAAGCATTGTAATTTGGAGCTATATCCAGAATACATTAAACACCTAAAAAAATTCATAACCATTGTTGAAAAGCCACCATCATCACGAAGAAACAACAATCCAAGAAAAAGCATGGACCAATCATCCACCACCGCCAACCGCCATCACCACCATTCCAGTAGGAGGAGGAGTACGGATTGTTTTGAAGCTCCAAGGAAAAGCACGAGCATGAACACGAAGGAGAATTTGGACCTTATTAATGAACTATGTGAGTACAAGTTTGATCAAAGTGATGATAAAGTTGGAAAGCTGAGAATACCTTATGAGCATATGGAGAGGTCTAGGAAGAGTATGGAGTATCGTGAAAATCCTCGATTAAGTACTGATATGAAGGTTGAATGGGGGCGTAAGAGTGTGGATTGTATTGATAGGATTCGTAACTAGTTAGTTATAAACATTTTATTTTTATGGTTATGGTTATGGTTATGGTTACTACAGAAAGTGTAGAGGGAAAAGGAGGGTGGTGGTTGGGGTTTAATTTGTGTTGTAATTTTGTTTGTTAAAAAAAGTTGTTAGATGATGTTTAAAATGTTTTTCTAGTTCAAGTTGAATGTTGATCAAGATTGAAATGTAATCAACTTTTTTAGATCCCAAACTCCACTAGGTTGAATCCTATTATTGCCGAGCCTCAAATATGAGTTTACTGGTTTATCCTAAGATGTTAAAATCGCAATCCCGATCTTACAATCATACCTAGGTAAATCGATTACGATCTTTTATATATATATATATATATATATATATATATATATATATATATTATTAACCGATAGATATAAATATATTTTTTTATTGTTAAATTTGAGTCATTTGTTCATTAATATTGGATAAAAAATAAATAAGATAACAAACAAGAACAATAAAATAAATAAGATAACAAACAAGAACAATAAGACTGCATAGAGTGTAGCGTGCCAAGCCCTCGCTTTAAACTCGCAAACACTGCCCCTCTCGCGAGTGTGAAGAACTTTTGACCAAAATTGATTAGTTTTTGATCCATTTAAAAAAAAGATTCTCTTATTTTTGAAAAACTAGCCTTTATATAAAAAAATCAAATTTTCTTTAAAACCACTATAAATACATACTCGATCTCAAAATTTTATTACACACACTTTCATTCTCTCTCCAGAATCTCTCTACTTCCACTTCTATCATGTTTTCCTCAAAAACAAACCACAACCACAAGAAGAAAGAAGAAAAATTCTTCAAAATCCGACAATACGCCATAATCAAATCCTTCACTAAACCCTACATCACCAAATTTTTCACTACCATAATCAAATCCTTCACTAAACCCTACATCACCAAATTTTTCACTAAACCCTACATCACTTAAACCCTACATCACTGATACTTTATAGAGCCTTGTTCGATCAACCTTTCACTCTCCTACAAATTACCATTTTGCGAGGTGGCTCCAATTATGTGCCAATATCCTTAATACATACTGATTCCACAACAAAACCTTTTCCGAACTCAAATTAGTTTCCAACCCCAAAACACCACTCAAACTGAATCCACTTTTAGGTCTAAGTCATTTATGTTGTAAGTTAAATATTTTAATATTATTATATATGTGTTTTTAAAATTTTGTAGTTGTTAAAATTAATATTTGTTTAAAAAATTAATAATTAAAAAAATGATGTGGTATGCTAAGTCACACTATCACTCCTTAACACGATATTGTAAGTTAGTTGACATGCAAAATGATGACGTGTTAGAATAGCATGCACACCACCGCTCCCAATTTGGCATCCACAATTCCATGTTTGTTGCTTTTTTTTTCCTTCAGTTTTAACCAAAGTTGTATTTTAGATTCATTAATGTTTCAGATTTTAAAAAAAAAATCAATTTTACACTTTTTGCAAATTTATTGGTAAAATTGAAAATTTATGATAAACTTAAGGACTTTAATAAATCAGAATGTCAAACTTAAGAGCTTTTATGAATTAAAAAATAGTAAAATCGAACATTTTTGTCAAACATAAAAGCTTTAATAAAACAAAGCGTAAAATTCAAAAAAAGTTGCAAATATTCGGTTTTTGATGAACTTAAAATCTGCGAAAGATAAAACCGATAAAAACTTACAAAATTTAGGGTTTTTATATCATTATTCAAAATGATAATAATGATAATAATAATAATAATAATAATAATAATAATAATAATGTTTTAATTGGAAATAAATAAAGTATAACTTTTTTTGCAGTTTTGCCACATGCTCTGAATCATAATGGGGATTGGCTCAAACAGTTTGCTGTTTTGATCATTCATCTTTTCAGGATTCTTCCGTTTTTTACGTGGCCTTTGTAGACCTCCTTTGCTTGAAGAACCTCAAGGCTTTGTCGTTAGAATGGCTTTTGAAACGGATAGCTGCACGGCTACACTATTCGTTATCGAAAAATATCTGAAATTAACAGTGATCACAGGGTTTGATTGATAGAAAGCAGGTTGATTCCTGCCGACTTGCAGTCCGATTTCGACAAGAAACATATCGAGGACGGATCTGTGGCAATCAATCATCATCAAGATGTAAGTTATCGCACAATTTGAGGGTTTGGGAGAACGTTTGATTCTATTACTTATGACACCATTGAACTTACATGGCGTGATCGAAAAACAATGAAATCAAAATTAAGAACATCATCTTGTGGTCGTATATTTTTTATGCGGATGACTTAATATGCTTACATATTGTTCTAGAAGAATGAATGTCAATTTGATATTTTGATTTTATAGGGCTGAGGATGAAATTGGGATAAACGCAATAAAGCATGCCATGAGAGCTCTTAGAAAGCGGCATCTCATGGAGGAGGGAGCTCATGCTCCTGCTTTTACAGCTATTTCAAAACCTATTGCTTCTCAGGTTCCTCTCCCCCCTACTCCATAATCCAAGTATAAACATACAATGTAGCTTTAGTTTGTTATTCTAATTGGTACTTAACTTAGCATATATGTGAGATTTCATTTGCAGTTTGCTACTGAATTTGTAGATATAACTATGTGCTTTACATTTTCTTTTGGTTTTTCTGGAAGTGGGAAAACAAGAATTATACTGAACTTATTGAGTTTGTATTTGCCACATGAAGGGTATGGAGTGGAAAGATAAGGCAGAAACTCTTGAATTGGAACTTCAACAATGTTATAAAACTCAAGTTCGATTATCAGAGCAGCTTGTTGTGGAAGTTGCAGAGTCCAGAGCATCAAAAGCTTTAGTTCAGGAGAAAGAAGCCTTAATTCCTAGTCTTGAAAATGAGATTTCCCAAGCAAGGTTATCCTTTTTGCCCAACCATATTCTTCATCAGTCTAGGGAGCTTTAACCTAATGTCTGTTTGGTATCATGGAATGGAATCACAAAAGCATGAAATGAACAAGGTAATGGAATGGATCGTTATACACTGTAATGTTCCATTCCATTCCCTCTTTAAATGCTGCATACCAAACACTACCTTAAAGTATTCCTTTGGATGACTGGAATTACGCTTATGCCACAGGGATGAGTGTTCTCGTTTAACAGCACTTTTGGAGGAAAAGACGAAAGCCCTAAAGTTGCTTATTGGTGAGAATCAGGACTTAAGAACTCAATATGAGGATATGAGAGCAAAAGCTAACAATGTGGAGGCTGAAAACAAGACATTAATTGATAGGTGGAATTTGCAGAAAATGAAGGATTCTGAACGTTTTAATGAGGTACAACTTGATGTTACAAGCACTTCCTAATATTTTATCTGTGCAGTGTGCTGACTCCATTCTTATAATTTCTTTGGTATTCATGTTTTGGAGTGTTGATGCCTTGATGGCTCCTCTCTGTACCCATTTAAAAAAAGAAATATTTTTTAGAATAAATTACAAAAATGGTCCCTGAGTTTAGCTGATTTTTTCACTTTTGGTCCCAAAAAGCTTTCTATTGCAATTTTGGTCCTTATGTTGAAGTATCTAACAATGTTGGTCCTTATTCTAAAGTATCCCAACGATTTTGGTTCATGTATCAAGTAACACAGCTATATTACCCTTATATCTAGTTTTCCTACAAAATTTTATGATTTGACTTAAGAGTAAATGATGATTTTGGTCCCTGAGTACAGCTGTTTTTTCATAGTTTTCGTTCCAAAAAGGTTTCTTTTGCAAATTTGGTCCTTGTTTGAGGTTTGTGTAACCATTTTACTCCCGTTCCAAGTAAAAGGACTATTTTTGGTCCATGAGTATCACTGTTTTTTGCAATTTTGGTCCTAAAAAGGTCATTTTACTTAGAACAGGGACCAAAAACCTTAAACAAGGATTGTAAAAATCAGCTAAATTGAGGGACCATTTATGTAATTTACTCAAATTCTTATTTCATCAGGTTAATGCTTTATACCAAGACATCCTCAACAAGCTGAAAGCCAGTGGTCTAGAACAACTCGCCAGGACACAAATTGACGGAGTAGTTCGCCAAAGCGAACAAGGCGCCGAACACTACATAGAGACCACCACCATACCAAAAACATGCACACACAGGATCACAGCCCACGAAGGCGGCTGCGCATCCTTAATTTTTGAAAACAGCTCCGGAAAACTAATCAGCGGGGGACAAGACCAAACAGTCAAAACATGGGACACAAACACCGGGTCGCTAACTCGCACCTACCACGGTTGCCTAGGGTCAATCCTTGACCTCACAATCACAAACGACAACAACTATATAATCGCAGCAAGTAGCTCACATAATTTATACGTATGGGATACAAATTCTGGTAGGGTCCGCCATACGCTGACTGGTCATTTGGATAAAGTATGTGCAGTTGATGTTAGCAGATGTTCAAGTCGCCATGTTGTGAGTTCGGGTTATGATCGTACGATTAAAGTGTGGGATTTGAATAAAGGGTATTGTGTGAATACTATAATATTCCCGAGTAATTGTAATGCTGTATGTTTTAATTCAGATGGGGGGACGATTATTTCGGGTCATGTTGATGGACATGTGAGGTTATGGGATATAAAAACAGGGAAGGTGTTGAGTGAGGTGGCTGCACATTCTCTTGCTGTTACTTCTGTTTGTGTTTCAAGAAATGGGAATATGGTGTTGACAAGTGGGAGGGATAATTTGCATCATTTGTTTGATGTTAGGAGTCTTGAAGTTTGTGGGAGGTTTAGTGGAAGTGGGAGTAAGGTAGCTTCGAATTGGAGTAGGTCGTGTATTAGTCCGGATGATAATTATGTTGCTGCGGGGTCCGTTGATGGGTGTGTTCATGTGTGGTCGATTTCGAAAGGTGATATGGTGAGTAGTCTTAAAGAACATACGGCTTCTGTACTTTGTTGTTCTTGGAGTGGTCTTGGAAAGCCTTTAGCTACTTCGGGTAGGAATGGAACCATCTGTTTGTGGAGCCATTGACATGTTGGTTTTTTGATCCTGTTGTAAAGATGTCTTGCTAGATTCTTTCGGCTTGTGTAAATATTGGTCTTCCATGAGATGTTTAAGGAATCATTTGGAAAGGCTAAACATGTGTAAGAACTAAGGTACGGAAAATAAAGCTTCTTAAATTTCTTTTATTTGTTTAATGGTGTATCGTAGTACAGATTTTTGGAAAGTTGATGTCTAATGATCGTTTAGTTTTCAATTAACATCGTTGATATCATTTTAACGGATACATGTTTTTATTTTAACTTCATATAAGTAAAAGAGTATGAAGGTAAAATTTGTACCAGCAGAAAGTAGATACTAGCAATAAAGTTGAAAGTAAAAAAAGACCAAAAGAGTAAAAAGATGAAAATTGTACCGAAAGCACAAATCGTGAAAAGGACACTAGGACTTAGCATATTTATATAATACTCCACTATATTGTAAGCTTCTATTCCCTCTTATCTAAGGTCATGTTCTTGGAAAGAACCAACTCTTTCCTGTCTAACTTCATGTTATCTTCACTATTTCTTATCGGATATCCTTTCCTCCTTGCACCATTGACTGTGATCATCTCCATTCTCCACCCTCCAATAATAATCATCCCTCCCTCATTTGGACATGCATGAACCATTACAAACTTCCGTAGTCAGTTTATTGATGATTGGCGACACTATTGGAGTTAATTCTGATTTGAATTTGAGTTTAATGCAATAAAGAGAATAATCGGTTACCACATTGTGGTGTGGTTAACCTGGTAGTTAAAGTTTTCAGTTATAGTTTGGTAGTTTTAAAAGCACTTTTAATTTAGGTTTTAATGTGATAAGAGTCTATAAATTGCAATCAGTTTGTAGTTTGTTTGGAGTGTGTCAAATAAAGAAGAATTCAGAAAATTTTATGTGTGCATTCTCGCCTCTGTTCCAGACCTGTGTAGTTTTTATTGTGATCATTTCTAGCTTGATCACCAACACTTGGTATCAAAGCTTTCGGTTCATGCCCAAATATATCCGTTACGAATCCATGTCGTCATCTAGCCAACTTGTTACAAGAGAGAATGGTGGAGTGCCATTTCAATGTCCGATGTTGACTCCCACGAACTACACCACGTGGGCGATCAAAATGGAAGCTATAATGGATGCCTAAGGAGTATGGGAATCCATTGAACCAGCAGAGGGAGAAGCTGTGGATGAGAAAAAGAATAAGTCGGCTCGGGCTTATCTTTTCCAAGCAATACCGGAATACATCTTGTTACAGGTGGCAAAGAAGAAGACAGCAAAGGAAGTGTGGGATTCTTTAAAAACAAGGTTTCTCGGGGCTGATAGAGTTCAAAAAGCAAGATTGCACACTCTCAAGAGTGAGTTCGAGGCCCTACGGATGAAAGACGGGGAGTCTATAGATGAGTTCGCGGGAAAACTAGGTGCAATGATTTCGAAGCACAACAGTCTTGGCACAACCCTTGAAGATAGTGTGCTCGTAAGAAAACTACTTGACTCCGTCCCAGATAACTACCTGCAACTGGTAGCATCCATTGAACAATATTCAGATGTGGATGAGATGCCATTCGAGGAAGCTGTAGGAAGGCTCAAGGCCTATGAGGATCGGCTGAAACTTCGAAGCAATAATACAACCGGGGAAGGAAGTTTGTTGTTTACCCGATCAGAAGGTCAAAACAATCAAAAGGCTTCAAAGGGGGGGGGGGGGGGGTTCCTTCTCGAGTGGTAAGGGACGTGGATCATCACATCATGACAGAGGTGGTCGAAGTGGTGGACGAGGTAGAGGAAGTACACGGGGCAGAGGTGGTCGTGGAAGCTTTACAAAGTTTTATGACTCACACAATAATCGTCAAAAAGGAAGGGATAAAAGTCATATAAAGTGTTACAATTGTGAAGAATATGGTCACTATGCATCAGAATGCAAAGCTCCAAAGGAAAGAAAAGATGAAGTAAACTTGACTCAAACTCAAAATCGTGATGATGAATCAGAAGCACTTCTGTTGAGTATCCTTGGGGAAGAGTCAAACAACATGGTGTTACTAAATGAAGACAAGGTGTTCCCAGGAAAGAAGAGCAGTGGTGAAGACCTTTGGTATTTGGATAATGGTGCCAGTAATCATATGACTGGCATGAGAAGTTTCTTTGCTGAACTCGATGAGAAGGTGACCGGACAGGTGCGTTTTGGCGATGGTTCTAAAGTGAAGATTGAAGGAAAAGGGACAATCTTGTTTAAGTGCAAGAATGGTGATCAAATACTTGTACCAGATATATATTTCATTCCAGCTTTGCATTGTAACATCCTGAGTCTAGGGCAGATGACAGAAGAAGGATACAAGATTGAGATGTTGCATCAGTATCTACGAGTACATGATGAACATGGAAGATTGATAATGAAGGTACAACGGTCCAAGAACCGGTTGTACAAGATCACTCTCAAAACTTCACAACCGATTTGTATGGCAACTAGTATTGATGACGAGGCTTGGCTATGGCATGCGAGGTTGGGGCACGTAAACTTTCGAGTTATGGAATCAATGGTTGAGAAAGGATTAGTAGAAGGTGTGCCAAAGATAAAACACCCGACACAAGTTTGCGATGGGTGTTTGGTCGCGAAACAAGTCAAACAACCATTCCCAAAAGAAGCAATGTGGCGAGCAAGTAAACCTCTCGAGCTAATTCACGCTGATCTTTGTGGTCCAATAACACCACAAACTTTGGCAGGTAACAGATACTTCATGCTAATGGTCGATGATTTTAGCAGATACATGTGGGTACATATGCTGAAATCAAAAGACGAAGCCTTTGCAACCTTCAAGAAGTTTAAAGCTTAGGTTGAAAATGAGAGTCCATACAAGGTAAAGGTACTCAGGACAGATCGGGGAGGGGAGTTCACCTCCCAAGTTTTCTCAGAATTTTGCAGCAAAGAAGGCATCAAAAGGCAATTAACTGCACCGTATTCGCCCCAGCAAAACGGTGTAGTTGAGCGTCGCAATCGGACCGTTCTTGAAGCCACGAGATCATTCTTGAAGACTATGAGTGTGCCTGAAAGATTGTGGGGGGGGCTGTTCGTCATGCAGTGTATGTTCTAAATCGAATGCCAACGAAAGGTGTAAAAGATATGACACCGTATGAAGGATGGAAAGGAAAAAAACCAACGTTTCAGCATGTCAAAGTGTTTGGTTGCCTTGCACACATGAAGAAGCCATCAAATCAATTAACCAAGCTAAGTGATCGAAGTATCCAGGTGGTGTATCTAGGGGTCGAACCAGGTAGTAAGGCTTATAGATTGTTCAACCCTAAAGAGAATAAGATAATGGTGGGCCGAGATGTCATATTTGAGGAGAAAGTTAAGTGGAGATGGGGTGAAGCCCAAAATAGAGAGCAAGATGAACAACCTGGGTATTTTAGAAGTTTTTTTAATTCACCGACAGATGGACGAGAAGTGTATCAAAACCCGGGTGATGAAGAAAATCCTTCTTTCCAGTCGTCGGTGGTTACTCCTTCAGCGACACCAACAAGCACAAGCACAGGTAATCCAACAAACTCGACTCCTCTTACGTTTGATTTTTCAAACACATCTTCTGAACATAGCGAAGGAATAAGCCCTTCCATGTTTGTTAATACCCTTGTGCGTGGGTTTCGATCTCTACCTGAGATCTATGCTGAAACTCACCCAATTGAAGATGAAGAAGTAGACCTAATGTTTGTTGGTGAAGAACCCTCCACCTATCTGGAAGCAACACGGGATCAAGACTGGTTAGAAGCAATGAAAACTGAACTTGGCTCACTTGAAAAAAATAAAACGTGGAATCTGACAGATTTGCCACGTGGACATAGAAACCATTGGACTGAAGTGGGTATTTAAATTAAAAAAGGATCCAGAAGGAAACGTAATAAAACACAAAGCGCGGTTGGTCGCGAAGGGGTATGTACAACGAAAGGGGGTTGATTTTGATGAAGTGTTTGCGCCTGTTGCACGGTTGGAGACAATTCGAGTACTCCTAGCTCTTGCAGCAATGGGAGGCTGGAAAGTTCACCATCTTGATGTGAAATCCGCTTTCCTAAACGGAGAGTTAAAAGAAGAGGTATATGTTTCACAGCCGGACGGGTTTGTTATTGCAGGCAAGGAACATCAGGTTTACCGATTAAATAAAGATCTCTATGGGCTACGACAAGCTCCAAGAGCGTGGAACGTTAAGCTCGACAAAACACTCAAGGATATGGGTTTTCACAGGTGCCCCCAAGAACAGGCCGTGTACCGACTTCAAAACGCAGAAGCGGTGCTAATAGTTGGTGTATATGTAGATGACTTGATTGTGACAGGTAGTTGTGAAGAAAAGATAGCTGATTTCAAGAACCAAATGAAGAAAGTATTCGATATGAGTGATTTAGGATTGCTAACCTACTACCTTGGAATTGAGGTGAAACAAAGTAAAAAGGGTATAGCAATCAGTCAAATGGGATATGCAAAGAAATTGCTAACAACAGCAGGTATGGCAGATTGCAATGAGGCAAAATATCCAATGGAACCAAAACTTAGCTTGACCAAGAGTGAAGATGAAGCCACAGTAGATGCTACTAAATTTCGGAGTCTTATTGGGAGCTTGCGTTACTTGATACACACAAGGCTAGATCTTAGTTACTCAGTTGGGGTGGTCAGTCGATACATGGAGTCACCTAGAGAAAGTCATTTAAAGGCAGTAAAACACATTTTGAGGTATGTAAAGGGTACAATTAATCATGGTCTTATGTATAGACAAGGAGGAGATGGAAACTTGGTGGGTTATAGTGATAGTAGTCACGGGATGGATCGTGATGATGGCAAAGGCACAACTGGAATGGCATTTTATCTCTCAGGAAATCTGGTCACATGGAGTTCACAAAACAGAGGACTGTGGCTCTGTCTTCCTGTGAATCAGAATTCATGGCAGCAACATCAGCGGCTTGTCAAGCATTGTGGTTAAGAAACCTCTTAAAGGAATTGATCAGCTGGGAGGTTAGAAAGGTCAAGTTATATGTAGACAATAAATCTGCAATAGAACTCATGAAGAACCTTGTATTCCATGGTAGGAGCAAACACATTGAGACTCGATACCATTTCATCCGTGAGTGTGTGGAAAATGGATTAATTTGTGTGGAGCATATAAGTGGAGAGGAGCAACGAGCAGATACTCTGACCAAAGCATTACCCCGAGTGAAGTTTGCTGAGATGAAAAGTCTTCTGGGAGTTGAGAAGCTTGAAGACCCTATTCAGAATTAGGGGGGAGAGTATTGGAGTTAATTCTGATTTGAATTTGAGTTTAATGCAATAAAGAGAATAATCGGTTACCACATTGTGGTTAACCTGGTAGTTAAAGTTTTCAGTTATAGTTTGGTAGTTTTAAAAGCACTTTTAATTCAGGTTTTAATGTGATAAGAGTCTATAAATTGCAATCAGTTTGTAGTTTGTTTGGAGTGTGTCAAATAAAGAAGAATTCAGAAAATTTTATGTGTGCATTCTCGCCTCTGTTCCAGACCTGTGTAGTTTTTATTGTGATCATTTCTAGCTTGATCACCAACAGACACTCCCAAGGAAATTTTGGAATGTCGTGTTTTGGTATCATGTCCAACAATATTCTATCAAACACATATTTGTTTCATCATCCTTGTTTTCCACGACTTCCATCTTCTTTTCATACTCCTTAATCGACCAACATAACATTCTGATGCATATAGCATAGCTAGTCTTACAGGTTTTAGAATTGTCCCTTCAATCTCAACGGGAGTTTCTTGTCGCACAAACTCTTGTGGTGACACTCCACTTGAACAATCCTGCCTTTATATAGTGTGTGGCGTAATCTTCAACCTTTAACACAACCTTCTAGAAAAGAAGCAAAAGTAGTTCCTTAAATTGTTTAAATTCACCATCTAACACAACAATGGGGTTTCATAATCAAAGGTTGTAAAAGTCTTTAGGTGCTATCGGGGCTAGAAACTAATCAGAGACCTTAAATTGTAAATGAATATATTTAAAAAATATTAAATATTGCCAATATGACAATATCCTAACAATATAAGCCATAAAAATAATCACATTCAAGTGTTTAAATATTCATGCAACCGATCATCATAATAGTTCATAACAAGTTTAATAAGCTCAAAAAATAAAAAACTCATGTTAAAATATTTAATTGTTCAATCTATTATTCATCTCCGTAATAGGTTACTAACTTTCTATTAATTTTGACATGTTTGACTTTTTGACCGCCTATACCGGTTTTTTACCGAATTTGATTGAGTTCGATTAATGTGTGGCATTACCACTAATCCGACTCAGTAAGTAGCAAGTAACAGGCCGCTATTTCCTAGATATCAATTAGAAAATTTATTTCTATAACTAGATATCAATTATGACTGATAAGTATAACGACAAGACCATTTTTTGTAATTCCGATTCTTTGAGTCAATAATCCTTTTTATTTGCAAAATAATTTAAGAATAACATCACAAACGTAGGGATAATGACTTGAAAGGGTAACGAACTTTCAACTTTGTTCATATATAGTCACTAATTTTTTTTTTCATTATCTGTTTGCCATCGAACTATTGAAACTGCTCACATTTTAACATTTTGACCGGTAACCGAACTAATGAAATTGTTCACATTTTATCCTTATGACCGGTTGTTAAGGGTCATAAGGGTAAAATATGAACAATTTTAATAGTTCAGTGACAAATAGATAATGAAAAAAAATTTAGTGACTAAATGTAAATAAAGTCGAAAGTGAACAAACTTCCTCTTGTATTATGTTTTATCAAATTATTTATTTTTGTTAAATTCTAGCAGCATTTGTTAACGAAGAAATCTATAAAATAAAAAAACAAAACCCCGAAAATATATTTAAAAAAAAACGAAAAACCAAAACCGAAATAAAAAAAACCAATGGTTTTGTATTTTCCAAAATAAAAAATCAAAATTTACAATCTGATTTTGGTTTAACAAAAAAAATGAACCATTTTCACTCATAGCTATTAAGAAATTGTGTTTCGTAGTAAGAAATTTCGTTGTATTTTGAAGAAAAAAAATGAAAACCTTATTTTTTTTAATAGTTATTTAATATGAAATGTTTTTTCTAAAACCTTTTAAATAATTGAGTGACTTTTTTGAAAGAAAAAAAATAGGACCGTTTTAATTGTTGAATATATAGCTTTTTTTTTTTCTTTTCTAAAAAAATGTTTTTGTAAAGGTAATATGGATGGGGTGGTTTAGACGCATCACTTTATAAAACATGTTAATAGTTTTACTTAACTTTATATGTCTAGTTAAATAATCATAAATTTCAATAATTATTCAAATTTTTGAAGAAAATACAATTTCAAATATAAATCAATCATTCGGGAAAATTAAAATTGTCTAAATTCTAAACAATTTGATTTTTATTTTTGATATATTTTTTAATAATAAGTATACTAATACGATGTATGTCAATACATGGAGTATAATAACATCTTCCTATTCTAATCAAAGAATAGTTTTATTTTCCTTTTCACATGTATCACCATATTAAGCCTCATAATTAATGCATATTTTTTTTTGCCACGTATCATCATATTATGTCTTTTAATTAATGCATGTCACTTGTCAACTTATTGATTATCTATTTCAAATTTCAAATTTTAAATTTTCCACTCTAATTATATTAAATTAAGAACATTAAAATAAAATTAACACAAACTATAAAGTGATATAATTTTACATATTTATTTAAATCAATGATTATAATTTTATAGAAGTAAAAAAAAATCTCTTAATTAATAATTTATTTAAAATAAGTGATTAATAATTTTGAGTTTTTTTATTATTAAAGTTTAATTAAATTTGTAACCGTGATTCTCACGGGTTATAAACTAGTATATAATATATCAATGTATGTATGTATTCTTTTATAAACAACGTATATGATTTAATGTATGTCAATTTATATGTTGCACAATTTTATAACAGAAATTTCATACATATAATATTAGGATAATTTTTATACATATAATATTACATAGTTTTATAACATAAAACTTATACATATAATATTGGTTTCGTTTTTCGTTTTTTATACATTTTTCGGGGTTTGGTGTGTGTGTGTGTGTGTTTTTTTATTATTATTTTTATTTTTTATTTCATAGATTTCTTCATCAACAAATGTTATTAAAATTTAACAAAAATACATAATTTGCTAAACCATAATACAAGAGGAAAGTTTGTTTATATTTAGTCATTGAACTTTTTTGAGAGGGATACGAACTTTCGATTTTGTTCACATTTAGTTACTAATTTTTTTTTCATTATTTATTGTCACTGAACTATTAAAACTGTTCACATTTTGTTACCGGTCATAAGGATAATGAAAGAAAGTTTAGTGACTAAATGTGAACAAAATCGAAAATCCATTACCCTTTCAAGTCATTATCCCACAAACATAATAAGCAGCCAGACATTAGCTCGGGCTTTCTCTGTTACTTATGAAAGATTGTTGTTGAAGACTAAAAAGCGAAAAATACGCACCATTTTCTCCTTTATCTAACAAATCATCATGAGAACCCTCTTCTACAACACTTCCATTGTCAATCACCACTATTTTATTCCATCTTCGTATAGTAGATAACCGATGAGCTGTCATCACACATGTCCTACCAACCATGGTTTTCTCCAAAGCATCTTGGACAATACTCTCTGATCTAACATCAAGTGCACTTGTTGCCTCATCCAATAGCAAAATAGCTGGATTTTTCAAAATTGCTCTTGCAATCGCGATTCTTTGCTTCTGCCCCCCTGATAACTGCACCCCTCTTTCCCCACAAATCGTATCATACCCATCTTTCATGGAACTGATCATAGAAATAATCAACTTATTATTTTTGATGTATAATTACTATATTAATATTACCATAAACTAAAAGAGAAATAGAAAATTAGAAAGTAAACCTTATGAACTCATGGATATTTGCAATGCTTGCTGCTTGAATTATCTCAGCTTCTGTTGCATTCTCTTTCCCGTATGCAATGTTTTCTTTTACAGTTCCCGCAAATAAAGTAGGCTCCTGGCTAACCCATGCGATAAATGACCGTAATGCCCTCAGGTTGTACCTTCTAATGTCAACTCCATCCACCTCCACGGATCCCATTATCGGGTCATAAAACCTCTGAATCATTCCAAGAATCGTTGACTTTCCAGATCCACTTATTCCCACAAGAACTGCAACTTCTCCAGCTTCAATCTTCAAGTTCAAACCCTTTAGAACAACCTTAGTTGGCCTTATCATGTAAACAAACTCCACCTCTTTCAATTCTATCTTCCCATTTATCTTTTTTGGATTCAAAACATGATTCTCTAATGGGCCCACATCCATCTTGCTGTCTCTTTTTAAAATTTTGAAAATCGATTTTAAAGCACTTGTCCCCACAGACAAATCACCAATCATGCTTCCTGTCTCAGCTATTAAAATCCCAGCTGTTACCACAATATAAAACGTCTGAAACAAGTTCTTATATGTAATCTCACCCTTGTACAAAAGCTTCCCTCCATACCAATAAAGAACAGCTATATTAACAATGGTTAAAAATTGTCGCGTAAACAACGCCATTCCTGCATATACAGGTTGCTTTTGGCTCTCTTTTTTAGGACCTTTCTGTGTATCTTCATATAATCTCATAACCTGTTCATGCGAGTAATAAGCAGTAATAATTCTATGATTGCTAACAGCTTCACTTGCTATTCCACTGCTCTTGTCACGTGCATCCGCTATCTTCTTCGACATTTCCCTTGTCATTACTAATTTCAGATAAAAACTTCCAACTGTAAATAGTTGTAAACAGATCGCTACAAGAGCGAGTCTCCATGACAATAATAACCCCCAAATGATCGCTAAAATGGCAGCTGAGATTGATTGTGCGAAAAACGCTAAACGATCTGCTACAAGATTTCTTACCATTAGGGTATCTGTAGAAAGTTGGGAACATAGGGCACCGGTGTTATTCTCTTCTTGGTCGAACCACTCGATTTCAAAACTCATGATTTTTTCAAAGATTGATGATCGAATCTTGTTTGTTAAATTCTCTCCCATTATTCCAAAATAGTAATGCTGAATCACGCTCGCTATGATTGAAGAGGCAGATATTGTCAAGAAGACGAAGGATAATGTTATTGTTTGAGACCTAATTTCGTGATGATTATTGAGGAAGAATATAGAAAGCATCGCTGCTTGAAAGCAAGCAACTAGAGGTTGAACTGATCCGTTAATAAGTGCACCAATGGTTCCAGTTAAAGTCGACTTCCAATCTGGTGTGGTCATCTCCATCAGCTGCTTCCATGATGGACGACTGCACTCTTCATCTGACCGTTGATTTGTTACAAGATCAGATCTAGTCAGTTTCTTTTCATCTACTCTTTCTTCTTTTTCTGTGAGATCTCTACTCGGAGATACCAGGGTTTTAGTTTCGATTTGTGTGTTCATTACATGCACCATGATCGAGTATGATCCAGAAGGGTTTTGTATGAGTTCATCATGTGAACCAGATTCGATTACTTCTCCTGATTTTATAACAACGATCAAGTCTGCATGACGAATGGTGGATAAATAATGTGCGATGACTATTGTTGTTCTTCCTACTGATGCACAAGTCAAAGCTTCTTGTACTGCTTTCTCAGAATGTGAATCAAGGGAACTTGTAGCTTCATCAAGTAGCAAGATTTTTGGTTCTCTAAGCAACGCCCTTGCAATGGAAATTCGTTGCTTCTGACCTCCCGACATCTGAGTCCCCAATTCCCCAACCTGAAGAAGACAAATACACATTTGAATTTCCTTATTAAACTACAATGTTGTAGTAGAAAGAAATAAAAGTACGAATACTGTAATACCCAAACAAACGAAAGTACATTTTTCTTATACTTACCAGTGTGTCGTACCCATTTGGTAGTTGCATGATGAAGTTATGGGCATTTGCTTTTTTAGCTGCTTCTACAATCTCCTCATTCGTAGCACCTTCTTTCCCAAATAAAATATTCTCTTTAATGGATGTTGCAAAAAGTATAGGCTCCTGGCTTACTAACGCCATTTGACTACGTAACCACTTCAACTGGAGCAACTTTATGTTAATTCCATCTAGTAATATCTCCCCCTGAATTGGATCATAGAATCTTTCTAGCAGATTGACCACCGTTGACTTACCGGACCCACTTTGACCAACCAATCCAACGGTTTGACAGGCATTGACTTTGAGATGGAACTTTTTTAGCACTAAGGTTTCTGGTCTTGAAGGGTATGCGAAGTCAATGTCTTTGAACTCTAATGCACCTTTGACTATGGAGATTGTTTTTCCTTGTTTGTCTGTTGAGTCTATAGGTGGGACCCTGTTGATGATTTCACTAATTAGGGCTGCTGAAATCTTGGCTTCGGCAAAATGCTTGATGTTCATTAAAGAAGCTCCAAGACCACTGTAATGATTGTTGCAAGAAAAAAAAAACTATTAAAAATACTAGTTAAACTGAGAAACAATGGTGAATTTTTTTTATTTTTATTTTTTATACTTACAATCCTCCATAGAGAACGCATATGCCAGCACTGAGAATGTCTCCACCTTTGACTCCTTTTTCAATGACCAAAACGCCCCCATACCAGCTCACAAGTGCAAAAACAGCAAATAGGATGCCAAAGCTACTGAAAACAACGCCCTTTAATAAACCTTGTTTGATTCCAAGAATTAGAGTGGGGTGTAATGCAGTTGAAAAACGCTTCATCATCCTTTCCTCTCCAACATACGAATGAACAGTCTTGATTGAAGAAAATGCTTGCTCTGCTATCCCTCCAGCAACCCCATACGCCTCCTGTAGCTTCTCTTCATTTTTTGCCAAAAGATTTCCATAAACTACCCCTGGTAGAATCAGTAAAAACATAGCAGGAAGTGCGACAATTGCTAATCTCCAACATAGGTACATTGCTGTTAATTCAGTTGTTATGAACATCCATAGATACGTAATGAACCCTGGAATCTGTTTTGATATCAGAAGAGTTAGTAGAATGGAACTGGAAGGAATGGAATTGGAATCTAAAGAAGAAGTTGAATCATAATTTGTAACGTGTTCTTAAATTTTATTTATTTAAATATATACGACAAGGGTATTTTTGTCTTTTTATAAAAAAAGGAAGAATGAAATTGAAATGCTTCCGCCCTCCCGTAGGAATGGTGAAATCCATCATACATGGAATGGAATCTTGAATTCCAATTCCATCGTTAGATATATTATTATTATTAAGCAAGAATCATGTTAAGTTACAAGACCTTTTCGCTAATAACTCCTTGAATGTTTATCGATATATCGGTTGAGATATTTGTGACAACACGAGATGCCTCAAGAGTTTTGTCAAAGTAACCGATTTCTTGTCGTAGAATAGCTTTTAAATATTTGATGCGTATCCGTGATGATTGCCTTTCTGCACTGTGTCCCCAACAAAATCCTTCTATTGAATGTCATTACAAAATTACAATATCAAGATTTTCTCAAAAAAAAAAAAAAACATATTATGTTGTTTGTTAGCAGAAGATAAAAGTACCTACCTATAAATGCACCCGAACCCACAATAATAGCAACGTACATATAGGTGATTGCATACTGCAAAAATAAAAACAAAAAATAATCAGATAATTGATAACAGATAACAGATTACAGATAACAGATTACAGATAACAGAGACTGACCTGATTGATGTCAGCAAGGGTTATGGAAGTTGTTGATGCATAGCCATTCATCATTCGACTGAGGGCGAACATAATCAAAGCCATACTCGATCCATTTGCAATGCAGCCAGCTGTCCCGAGAGCCATTAAACTCATGTCTATCCGGTCAGCATGTTCGGAAATTACCCCTAATAGTCCGGGTGATGATCCATTCTTTTTTTCCATCTGATGATCTATTATGAGTTACATATGCTACAAAACTAATTTCATGTTCACCATTTTTATAGTTTCTTTGATATTCTACAGACACCCATCACATGCCAAACGATGCTGTAATTATATTGAACGCATATTCTTTTTAGAGTTGAAGAGACAAAAGGTGGTTATATTTTTTGATCTTTTCGCTACTACTGAACACAAGGTATTGAAGTTGGAGAATGCTGGCATGAAGGTGATGTTGGTGTAGGATACTTTCGGCTATTACTAGGATTATTTATCTGGATTTTGGATGATTTTGTATGCATATGAATGGAATTTTGTATGGACGCCGTTCAATTTATATGCCTCTTTCCACTTGGAACCAATCTAATTGCCGTATAAACTCCCCCAAAATCTTCACCCCAAAACAATATGAAACAAAAAAAAAACAAGCTTATGAATCCAAGGTTAGATACAAATACAAACAGAAGCAAACGACAGTTTGGTTTTTGGTATACTGTTTTTGTGATTTTGGGCAAGGATGGAATAGAGATAATTCTGATTATTATTATTATTATTTAATATGAAACAATGGTTTAACTTGATTTTAGCTAGAGTTGCGAGTTTGATCTTATATGTTTTTTTTTTTTGGAAGAGATTGATATTTAAGTAGATGATATAAAAAGAAAGTTTCAAGAAGTTAATGGAGGTAAAATGGTCCATTTTAGGGACTCGCTCTTTTTTTAGAAATCCGTGTACATAGTTTTTGAAATAAATATAATCTTTGGACTTTGAATCAAGATAGTAAATGAGCTACGCATAAGCTCAAATTCTATGTTATTAACAAAATACTTAAATGCCTAATAAATGAGTACCAACCTCAAGCTCATGATAATATTAAAGCTTGAGCTTTAACATAATACTAAAAATATTCTGGTTTAAGCCAAAATTCAAATTAATCGGACTTCATGTGGTTCTTTAACATCTCTACTCATACCCAATCTCTTCATGTTCTATTAGATCAGTTTACTCGGGTATTTTACTCCTCTAAATAGGAGAATGAAAAATACAAAAGATACATAAAAAAGTGTTGGGTCAATTTGATTAAAAAATTAGCATTTTTAACCTGTGTTCCAGCTATATGATGTATATTTCTTCTCACCAATAAAAGATATACATTGTATTAGAAAATAGAACTGTGGAGAAAGGATTATGCATTTTGTTATTAATTCAAAGCTTCAAATGTTTTACAAGAAGAAAAGCAAGACTTTTTGTTTTGTTTTGTTAAAACCGAGTCTAACGAATCCACTGCTTCTCACCTTGTTTATTCAGTCAATACTTAATGATTAAATAAAAAGAAATGGCCTTACATCCATTATTTTTGATAGCAAATGTGTATAGCATAATTGTTCTTTGGTCGTGCAATATGTAGGTATGCCATAATTTGTTATTTCAAATCAAAGTGTATTAATGGTGAACGGAATGCTTTAGACTAAACCTGAATTCGATGTGAAAGCTTGGCAAACCTTTTTATATGAGACCGAACTTGATTTGAGGATCGAGAGCCTAAATAACCAAAAGATATAAACACAAAAATACTAATGTGAAAAAGCTTGAAAACATTTATGAAAAATATGTTATTCGAACTAAACACAAAAATATTAACAATTACATAAAATTTAATAAGATTAAGAGGCATATAGAATTCAAATCAATAGTTTAAGATAACTTTGGTGAAAATAATGGGGCACCAATCGTAGTAAGCAACATTATACCAATCCAACCAAAATAAATGCTTATAATTATATGATTATGGGTTGCTTAGATAAAGAATTATAATTATATGATTAGGTAAGTGATTGGGATACATCAAACCAAGTTGCTTCTACTTCTACGACAACATTACCAAGTCCACAAAGGAAAAAAAAATAATATATATATATATATATATATATATATATATATATATATATATATATATATATATATATATATATATATATATATAAGTCCACAAAGGAAAAATAAAATAAAATAATACATCCCTTAATTCGATTTGTCCCCTAACTTGTAATTTTATTTATTTGATACAAAAATCATCTAAGGAGAACAAACATAAACACCCCAAAAGGAGATTTATGTTTCATATTCCAAGTTTCTAATCTCAATATATCCCTTATTACTAGGCCTCATATCTTAAATCACAAATTAACATATGAATTTAGGATATTATGGGATGTAATGCAATCCAAGTGAACGATGACTCGTGCCGACTCAAGAATCATGTACAACTGATCCTCGACTTCTCTAACAACCTAACTAAGATCCCGACTATGCATGACTATGCTCCACATGCCCATGTAGGAGGGCTTTACTTAAGATTTTCCCTTTTTGGTTACAATACTCTACTCAAAATTCTGTTTATTAATGTTCTGCTAAATATTGTTATGTGTTACCACTCTATTCGAGATTTATATTTTGCACATGCTTGGGTCGAGCTAGATTTCACATGTCATGCTTGGTCTACATCAAATTCACTATTTTTTTTGTTCCAACCAAATTTTAAACCACTTAGTCAAGAATTGTCTTTCCACTTGCATACAATTCTAATACACAATTCTCGAACAAGTCAAATGATCAAACTCTTAAATTTTGTTGCTTGTCAAATGAGACAATATACTATTCACTTCGAAAAACCACAATATTAACACTTATTGGTAAACAACTACGCTAATACATCAACTTTACATGTTTGACATTGTTAGCATAATAAGTTACTTGGTGTTAGCATAATAAGTTAGTAGGGTCACTTTTGTATTGAGATTTTATTTAGGGTTTTAGCAAATAGAAGAACCATTTAGTCTTCGTGCCCCTTGTAAAATCAACAAAGCAAAACATTAACAATGACTTCCAGTTTCTTGCCTCTAATAGTTATTGTTACTGCACCTTTTGTAGAGATTAATCTTCATTTTACCGCCATACTACCATATGCTATGGATCTTTATCTTTTGAATAGTTTAAACAGTTTCTTGCCTCTAATACTATTGACATCTCATCATCAATGTCTCATTAAAAAATATCTTCATCAGGTACTTTAGGTATCTTTCCATCATTATGGATCTTGGATTTTGGTGCATCTATATGTAACATCCATAAAAATTCAGAAAATTTTGAACTTTTCAAAACAAATCTTTTTCTAAAGAAGTGTTTACAAAAACCATTGTTCCCATAACATTATTTAAAATTAGAATCGCCTTCAACATAGTTTTCAAAACATTCACATTATTAGAGTTTCCCAGAAATCATAAGTCAAAAAACATGAGGATATGTACGGTCATGCCTTCACCTTGACACGATCCACTGAAGTACCTAAAAGCATAAACCAAAACTGTAAGCACGAAGCTTAGTGAGTTACCCCAAAATACCAATCACACAACCATTTACATATATAAAATAATAGCATGTAACGAGTCCACCGCTAAAAGACTAGATTACCCCTGAGCCCATGGTATGAGTCTGGCTTGCCTATCGGGCCCACATCTCACATCTAGCTTGCTCCTGAGCCCACAACATAAGTTTCGCTTGCCCTTGTTGCCCACAACTTATGTCTGGCTTGCTCTCTATATCGATCAATCATTGAACTAAAATATCAATGTTCATCCCTCAGTACGAGTCTATCATACCGACCGGTCCTCGACTCGTATCTGAAATGCTATTGAGCACTCAATATGAGTCTGGCATGCCTAACTTGACCCTCAGCTTATATATGGAATGCTACTGAGCCCTCAGTATGAGTCTGGCATGCCCCACCCGACCATCATCTCATATCCGGAATGCTCCAGGGTTTGTTGTCTACAACACAAAGCAGTACAACCTCAACCCACCCATATAATATGTCGACATATAATAGATAATATGTAACATCCCAAAATTCAAGACCAAAATTTTAATTGTTAATCAAATTATTATAAAACCAAATTGTATAGAAGCATCCATAATAACATCCCATGTCAAAACCAAAGTAGAAATAATCAGAACATGTTATCATAAAACAATATCATAGTGTAATCCCCAAGATATCATGTGCGGAAATATAGTGTGATGCGTTGCGATCGATCCGACTCCTTTCCTTTGAAAACGAAGTACCTGAAACCAAAACTGAACGTAAGCACAAAGCTTACTGAGTTCCCCCATCATACCACACACCATACAATAACATACTGCCAGGTAATTCTGGGGTGCCTGACCTACCCATGTCAAGCCATTATGGGGTGCTTGACTTATCCGTCGGTTTATCTCAACCGACTACTAGCGACTATTTCACCCCTACCACTACCACATAATAACATAACATAGACATACTGCCAGAAAATTCTGGGGTGCCTGACCTACCCATGTCAAGCCATTACGGGGTGCTTAACTTACCCAGGTCAAGCCATTCTGGGGTGCTTGACTTACCCGTCGGTTTATCTCAACAGACTACTGGGGACTATTCCACCCCTAGTACTACCACACAAACATAACATAAACATACTGTCAGGCATATCTAGGGTGCCCGACATACCCTACGGTCCTAACAATCGAACTTGGGGACTATTCCCCTCATACTACCACTATCACATATAACATATCATGCTGGCTCATAAACATATCAGGTAGTAGAAAACCAGACAATTATCACAAAGACAATCATCTCAACTATAATCAACTACTAGTGGGCCGACATTGGTTCATTCGACCCACTTCTACTGGAAGGTAACTTACCTCACACTGCTGAAGTCCCGTAGACAAAACTCTAGTTGCTAGATGACAGGTCCTCGAACTGTCAATATCAAAACATCACCCAATTAATAATTGGGTCCCAACACAAAACCATAAGTTCTTGGCGTAACATGCTACATTACCCTATCTTGGCTTGATTCAAGCCCAAGGCCCAAAAGTCAAACTAGGAATCAAAGCCCAACATATGGCCCAATTTCCAAATTGGGCACAAACATTTACATGGTCTTATTCTAAGGCCCAACCATTTAGTCTAGTCCAAAATTTGATATTTCTAATGGCCCAATATCTCATAATCATGAAGGCCCAATTATGGCCCAACATATGACCCAATTTCCAAATTAGGCCCAAACATTTACATGGTATTATTCTAAGGCCAAACCATTTAGTCTAGTCCAACATTTGGTATTTCTAATGGCCCAATATCTCATAATCACAAAGGCCCAATTATGGCCCACCTATGGCCTAATTTTCCAAATTGGGACCAACCCCTCATATGGGCCTTACCCTAAAGCCCATCCAATTATTCGAGTCCATATGATTGTTCTTGGATGGCCCAAAC